GGGTATATGTATTGGACAGACTTCTGTTTACCTTTTCGTACCAATCGCGTGCATTGGAAACAGGATCCAGACCAGTCTACACAAATGGATCTTGACTTGCCTACCTGTATACTACATGTACATCATGTAGGCCAAGGCCTACAGTGTATTTCCCTTAAAAAATCCTTCAGGGGTATGAATCAACTGAAAAAGACAAGAAAAATGTGTAGGCCTAGGCCCTATAGAAAGTAAATATGTGATCTGATTGAGAAAATTTATGAAAAAAACCATGATGTTTTAAAGTGGACAGGCAAATGTGTGTGTGAGTTTGAATGTTGTCGATCATAGGCCTATTTGTGAATTGTAAACATGGTAAACATCCTGTTTGGATGGAGTTCAACCACCGTGTAATAGTGAATTGTAAATGTTGTGTGAGTTCAAACATCTTGTTTGTGAATTGCAAACGTTGTGTGGTGACTTCGTGTAATAAACCTTTTCGACATTCGCAATGCATTGTGGGTTTGGATGACGTACATGTACATGCAATGCCTTTTATGCTCAACCCTATGGGAGAAGTGTACCTGCATGGCTGCAAAATGTTAATCTGTAAATTCCATTTTATTTCACACTCCAATTCAAGCCGCCCCCCTTCTGACAACGTGTTGCATTTTTGATTTGGGATGAAGATATTCACAAACTTCGAAGTTTAAGGCTTGGCAGAGAAGGAAAATTCAGAGAATTTCTTCCAACAACACCACTTTTTGTAACAGACCGTGCTTTGACTTCTTCATGAATGTTAATGTTCCAGTATTGTCCAATCAAAATCCAGCTTTGACCAGTCACGTTCATTTTCAGCCTGTAGAGGGACTGGTGCCCTTAGAAAAAGGCAATAAAAGTTGATTTGCTCTTACAAATATTTGAAAACATATAATTTGAAAATGTTTCTGATAATAGTACGCATGCATCTGTGAGTTAATGAGCTGATACATAAAAAATATTTAGTAGAAAACTGTAACTTGATTTTTGACTGGTTCAGTTCTCCCATAGGGTTGTGCATAAAATGCGTGCATGTTTGTCAACCACACCCATAATGCATTGCGAACGCCAAAAAGGTTTATTATATAGTGAATTGTCATGTGTGTGAGTTCAAATTTCATGTTTGTGAATTGCAAATGTGTGTGTGAGTTCGAACATTGTGCTTGTGAGGTTGAACATTGTGCTTGTGAGGTTGAACATCGTGCTTGTGAGGTTGAACATTGTGCTTGTGAGGTTGAACATTGTGCGTGTGAGGTTGAACATTGTGCTTGTAAATGGTCAGGGCCAATTTCATGAAGCTGCTACACGTAAGCACAGTATTGTCTTGCTCAGGAAAAACAGGTTACCAGCCAAAACTTCATGTAATTTTTAGGATAAGTGAACATCATGCTGAACACCAGTCACAAGCAGTATAGAACCCATGAACATTTTGGTTGGTAATCTTATTTATTATCATTATGTTAAATGATGATTGACATGTATTTGAGTACATCAAACTAAATCTTGACCAGTTGACCTAAAAATTGATTCTTAAAATGTCTTGAGTCATGCTGCATGTATCAGCACCAATTGGTTACATGTACATTTATATGGGTTAAAGTTCATGTTTCTTGTGGAGTTTTCTCTGGTTTTTCTTAGGACTGCTAAAAGCTTAAACGATAGTTTCAACAAATTTTACATAACTGTACATGTACACGTATACATGTACATTGTACATATAGTATCCAACCTTTGACCATCTGGAGAGAGAGAAAAAAATAGACTTCAATTTGTTTCATACATTAATCATGTTAGTATTACATGTAACTTCTTGAGTGTGTAAATCCATACATGTATACATGTAGGTTTTCATACTTTGTTCCTTTTGCTCTAACAGTCACAGGCAGTCAAAAAATTCTTCCTCTTCTCCCTCCACCATGTCCACTGTACATGTACATAGACATATCATATGTCACTTCTGTGTTTTTGACTGATAGGACAACTCTGTCAAGAATGCATCTTTTTATAGGAAGGTTTTAATAAATGTTCTAGACAGTTTTTCCTGTACCAGGTAGGTCGAGAGCCCATCACATGTCCAGTCTTAAACAGTTGATAAAGCACCCAGCTGGCTGTGTGCCATCTCATGCAGTATGAGCACCATGGTACATACAGTGTCATATGAACCTGTACCAAGAAAGAGATTATTTACAACCACTCGCGAGGGGAACATATTGGTACCATAACATGGATTGAGTAGCATTTGGAAAACAGGCACGATGCAGACTACGTCATGGGTAGTCAGTCTGCTTCACCACCAAGACCTCTGTATGCCATATGTGGCCCGTCGTCTACCTTCCACCTCTATGCCTGTGCTTCGAACCAACCATTCTTTGGTGCATCCAGGCTAGCCGTAGACACTACACTCTACTGGGCTGCCCTACGTTGTCTTCTGTCTGGTGAATATAAGACAAAACAACTCTGATCATTACGCTACATGTAAGCCCCTGACCGGTGCCTGAGACCTCCACACCGGGGGCACCTAGCCAAGAAACAGAAGTGCGCTACCCGGGTCAACTTCCCAGTGAATAAGACTTTAGACTACATACGAACAGCCTACCGGGTGTAACCTTTCTACCACCGGTACCTGTTCAAGGAGGCCTGTGGGAGATGATTCCGTGCCTTACCCGCAGACCCCCAAAAACTGCCACACGCCTGATCCCACTGATGTCCGAGACCTCGTCATCAGGGCACCTAGGCATGAATTGGACAACGGCGATCTTTGGGCAGACTCCCCTCCATTTCTGGCCCTGCCCTGGTGACTACGCCGTTCGAATTTGGACCTGCTATTGCATTTTTCCACTCCTAATTCATGCCTCGGGTGTACGAATTCACCTAACTTTACACCGTCGTGGATTGCACATGTCCCCTGTCATCCCGTGCTTTTCCAAGGGGGTCTTCAGCAATATGTTGGCATTATATTTCCTACATGGCCTATCATGTACGATCTCCATAGATTCTTCCGCATGGCCTTGCCATGTCCTGCTCACTGCCCGGACGCAAGTTTCTCTGATATGGGCGTGTCCAAAATTTATATACTGTGATTGGTTCGAGGTCCATGAGTTCTTTCAATGTAGGCGTGTCCAAATTTGATGCACTGTGACTGCTATGGGGTCCAACAAAAGTGGGCCTACTATGCATGGGCCCCCAATTTGTTAAGAGTGTGCCTAGGGCTAGGGGTCCTTACTCTGGTAATCTTTTACCGCCCAGCCATTCCCACAAGCAAACACCCTGGCAACTGTCTCTCAATAGGCGGATGAACAGTTGAGGCTGGAGCCTTCCTTAACATATCCTTAGCATATTAGCTTACCAGCTGTCCTGGATTCCTAACTTTGAGATTCCTGTCCTCGTACATTTTCCGATCCAATGGTAAGTACCGGAAAGTTCGGCTTTCAGCCTTGGCCCGGGCATTGATCACACTAGCAAACCTTTGGCCTGAGGGTGAACCCTGTAAGTCTGGTACCTCTTGCCAGACTTATATGAGGCCCTACCTACTAACGTTCTCCTGACTCAACTGTCTTCCTTCAATACGTGATGGACTGACTTCATCCAGTCACACCTTTGTTGGCAGTTGAAACCAAGGATGGGCCCTCAACTATTAGTTTCTACTGACACTTCCTAAATTTCGTGGAATACTCCTGTTCCTGAACTCTCAGATCTCAGGGACAGGAGTACACTGGTTACCACATTGTCACTTCACCAGATAAATCACCACGGAGGTACACCCTTACTACGCCTTGGCCTCCTGACAAGACAAATGTTCCTATAAGCCACGGACTTTGGGATTTACCTGAAGGTAACCCACGTCTCGACGCCAACAATTCCTTTACAGATGTCTGCTCTCAGAGAAAGATTCACACAGTAGAACAGACTCTACACTGTATATCGCAATGTGACTGAGCCAGTCCTTTGAGGTACTCGGCAGTCTGCATATTGTCCTCCCTGCCTTGGCATGGAACATCTAAAGTTGCCAGACTCCCTCACCTACGGGTCTTGATCACAGACAACCTCTTTTTTTTTCAGCAGAGTATGGTTGCTCGTCTTCGCGCCCCTCTCTGTTACCCCTACTTCCAACAATTCTGTCAGAATTGGTCCGGAAAGACATCTTCTATTCATGCCATTCAGGCCTTCCTAACCCTGAGGTCTCATTTACCCAGATTGCTAGCATGGCTAGTATACATCTACTCCAGGAGTAAACAGTTCTCCATTTTTCATGGCATGACGGACAGTGTGGGGCTTCAATTCAAACACTGATAAATGCAGTAACCGACTCTTTCTTCTTCTACATGACTTGAAACTGCAGTCATCAATCTCATGTAGCTACCATCTGCTGTCACAACTACCTAATATGCTTCCCCATTTAACTTCCCTTCCTTAGCCAACACTGACTCCAAGTAGATATGGAAGGGCTGCATAGCACCGTGATCAGAATATTGACAAGAATATAATATAAAATCAGTGCTCTGGAATATGTGATTGCTGAGCTTTCAGTAACTGAGTACCTTCTTCAGGGCAAGCAGATTCAGTTCAGTCTGCTTGCCCTGAAGAAGCTACTCACATATTCCAGAGCACTGATTTTATATTATATTCTTGTCAATGCTGTATACTGACTCCAGATACCCTCTTTCTGGCATGTTCATTCAGTGTTTCTTTCCTAATAGTTCATATTCAGTTGGGACTTACATGTATGTGTCCTTGAGCTCTTCCAAGGTCCTTCTCCAAGTCCTTTGTAGAGGCTTCTCCACCACACATTTTGGTGGGGCCAGCCCCCTAGCTACTTCATTCCTGGATAGTCAGATGATGATATCCTCTACACATACTCTCTTTGGGTGATAATACCACTGCATCCCTTTCACCCACATCATAGGCTAGCATTCAAAGCCCTGTTCATTCTCCTCTCTTTGACAAGACATCTTCGTCTTTAATGTCATAGAGTACTTTTGTTCTCCTATAATGGCAAGTATTGCCTCACTGCCCTAATCTTTGTAATGATACAGTGCCGGGAATCAAAGCTGAGAGATAGTGTGCCTCTTCTGCTGTCTTTACCCTTTAAGTGAGAACTTTACCTGCGATAGTTAGGTTCCTCGGCCATTAACTTCATTGTTCCAAATGGCTGATCTTCACGGACATCAAACCTAGCCGCCCATATCGAGGTTTAAGACACCAGGTTGATATACATATACTCTGCCAACATCCTTCTGCTGTGTCTATCGGAATTTATCTGCATAGTAAAGTGCTAGACAACTCTACAATCATTTACCTCATGCTACCTTTTGTATGGTTTGCAATGAGTTCTGTTGAGGCGTGTCTATAATAACTTCTTCACTGAGACCATGAAGACCCGTACTCCATGAGCTACCTCCATCTCTTCACCATATCTATGGATACCCTCTTTTCATGGATTCACAAACTTCAGTGCGTCCTCGCCTTCCCTTCGACGACCCAGCGTACAGTGCTACTGTGCATATAAAGTGACTGTTTGGGTAGGTTGAGTGCAATGGACTCCTCCCTCACAGGAGTGTGGGAAGAGTCTGCTAATGAATACCTAATACCCAAACAGGCACAGCCCTCCTGTCCTCCCCACTCTGGCTCAGACGTCACACTCCAAAAAGGACAAACATGGCAGCGGTGCCACTATGCATCATGGGCCTATAGAGGGCACACTACGGTTGATCAAGTTTTAGCAAATAGAATCAGACGCAAAGGAAATTTGCATATATAGTGACAGTTTGGGTAGGTACATGTATTCATTAGCAGACTCTTCCCACACTGCTGTGGGGAGGATTGTACATGTACATCATTCACATGGAAAGGATTTTTGTACCTTACCTTAACAATGGCTCAGTATGTTCTTAGTCTCAATCCAATGCTTGAAGGACATTATTATAAATAATATGATTTTCAGTTTAAGAGAGAAAAGTCTTGAAACAGTACCGTGTCCTGCGTTTCAAACCAAAATGACGAATGTGGCCAGCAGTATTGATTCTTTGAAAAGTCCATGTTCACGTTCTTTAAAAAATTATTCCTGTATCTGTAGGAGTTAATATTAATCTTTGTGCCAAGATGTATGTTGTAGGGTATTTTCTTCAGATGCATGCTGATGTATATTGCTGTTGCTAATTTTGCAGATCTCAAACCATTAAATTCTCTTCATTGAATACCAAGCACACCTGTAGGCTAGTCAGACTAAGGGCATTGCAGATCATCAATCATTTACCTCTTTACCCTTGTGGCTGGTACCACAGTTGACTGACAAAGCATGTTGTCGTCGGCACCCGCTCGTGTTCGAGCATTGGGATCGTCGCTCTCATCCTATTCCGTGCTTGCTCTGTTGGTGGTATTGGACATGGATGGAGGCCCAGTCTACTCCTGAAGAGCCTTGGACAGAAGTCACAAGGGAGTGTGGGTGGTGAACTAGTTTAGGTGAGTCGGGCCCTCCTTAATTGCAGCACGTCGCCAATCATCTTCGTGATGACGGTTGGTCTCAAAGGTCTCAGTCCCCTCCTGGTCGGTTCATGGCAACAATTTCCCAAACCTCTGGGTCAATGCTGACTTTTTTCAGAGAGATCTTCAACTGATCCTTAAAGCATCGTTTAGGGCCTCCTCAAGGCCTCTTGGAGGTTATTGTTGATGGCAATGCATTGCACTGCCATATGCAGCCTGCAGAGGTAACAAAGCCTAGAACATTGATGGTTGTAAAAATCATGCCATTATAATAGAGAATTTCTTAAACTTCATTTCTTGTTTGGACAGGCACAAGTATGAAAATGGTCAAGCCCATATCAAGTCATAGGGCTGGTGAATTGAGTCAAGTCAATTAAAAAACATGTCTTGATTTGACCTGACTTGGAGTTAATTGCCAACTCCAGTCATTTCAACACTGAAAGAAGACTTCTGTATGTGATATAGGAGGCTCAGGTAACTTTGCTGGTCAACTTCATCATCCAGTGCAATTGTCATAGACAAGGCACCATCTTGCCCACATATATGCAATGTACATGTATGTCATGGACTATCCATCGGCATCCATCTTCGAGTGATTTTTTTATGGCCCACAAGAAAGTCGCAGGGCATACAATGTACACGTACATGTACATGTATGCTTTGCCCTTCTGTGTGGTATGGGGACAGAACACAAAGGGAAGTAACACAACGTGTACATGTACAGTACTTGTATTCCTGTCCTTAATGGTTAGTCTGTTCTCTATGGTACATGGAAGTACCTATGCAGTGGATAAAAATGGTTCTTGGAGAATGTTAGTTAAGACAAAAGGTTGTTGATTCGTTATATGCATGTACTGTACATGTGCATGAAGTCAAGGCTTCATACAGTACATGTACATGTACATGTATGATACACTGTATGCCTCATACTTGTAAGTCTGACAAAATCTTGTCCCCAACAAAGTAAAGGCCCGAAGTCCAATAACCCCATACATGTACATGTACATGTAGGTCGGAACCCTCATATCTAGGTCCAGTAAGTACCGTAGGTCTGACAGTTAAAATATTTTAATTTCTGTCCACAAATCGGGCCCTTCATACATGTAAGTCCAATGGCTTGTTTGGCCAAGGCATCATAGAGCTACATGTACATGTACGAGGTGCAATCTGTATTCTGATGCCTCTATAGTCCGATGCTTCAAAACTCTGAAATACCTGACTTACATGTACATGCACCATGATGTATATAGACTTACATGTTCCATACAGCCCCATGCAGCTTAGGTATATGTATGCTGTGTTTCTTTTATCACAAAAATGTACCGGTATATGTACTAGTATAATCTACACTGGTGTATACCCGTACATATAGGGCTAGCATGGTCAGCTAGCATTGGGGTACAGTTGCGACTATGGGATCTAAAGACACGTACATGTAACTCTCTCCGATGACATGGATGAGTGAAAGTACTAATTTCAAGTGAGTCGTACCCTACAGATGATGTACATGTATGATATACATGGTGATGGAGCTAAGTCGGTATTGACTTGTCTTAAGATTTGTGCACAGTGGTTACAGGTGCGAATGGTGCCTAATGTACAGTACATGTATGTACTTAATAGCATGTGATTTTTTTTTTCCAGATTCCAGAAACCTACAGTGGAGTGGTTTAATAACTAGCTCAGCATGTGCAGTCAGTAGCCAGAATTTCATCTACAAGAAGATTTGATTCATTTAAACAGTCCTCAGAGAGAAATACATGTACCATAGCATTTGCATGTACAGTAGTTCAGTCAGGATATCAGATTCACTGAAATGATTCCTCCATAATATGTCAGCCTCACTACTCTTGTGGTGCCTCATATATTCCAGGCTATGGCATCAGGTTGGATTACAAACTTCAGGGCATTACCATCTGTTGTTTTTGGATTTACAAGGATGTTTAGCTGCACTCCAAGGCCAGCAGTAAGTACCCAGTAGGCATAATAGATAAAATCAATAAACCCAACTGAATGTTGGATAAATGTAAGTTCTGAAATTGTTGTGTGCATTTTTATAAAGTCTGCAGTAGGGAGGTTAATTGTACATACTGTATACATGTATGTACACTGGCAGGCATTTAGTATTGCTAGGTATGGTGTATCACAGCACACTTCACTTTGCATTTTTAACAGTTTAAACTTAAAGTATTTTACTGTCACCTGATTATTTATAACTTTTACGTGTAGTTGTACATGTAAAATACACACATCATAAGACTTAGGTGTACCACAGTCTCTTTCACCGTACACTGCAAACAATTTTTTTAAGGTAACCTACATACAGCATGCATGTACATATCCCATGTACCTTAATGTGCATATCTTGTGTGATTGTTGAGAATGCTTTATTGGTTTAATGTATGATACAACAAGATGTTTATTTGGTATCTCTCTTGAAATAGAAAAATCTTTATTTACCATCAGATAGCAGACTGTATAAAGTTCAAAGTGTTATTTACATGCAGTGGAGCTAAATTACACCAAACAGATTGTCATAAGAAGGTCGGAAAAGGCATTTTACATACATGTATACATGTAAAAGGGGAAAATATCAGTTAAACACAACACAGAAAGGTACACTGTACATGTACATGTACACTGTACATGTACACATGTACAGATACTATGTAGAAGATGTTTGAAGCTGGCAGGGGGTCAAGATAAAATACCATGTCCTGTCCATCTTAAGTGTATTTCATACATGTATGTACAGTGTGTACTAAGAATTGGTACAATACTTTCAGTTTTATTGTACATGTACAGTACATGCCATTGATTAACTGCTAATTCATGATATTTCAGTCTTGTTTGTGCTTACTTGACTGCATGTGCATGTGCATGTATATTATTCAGAGGTCCACCAAGACCATGGCAATGGAGGGTCTGCCGTTTATGTTGTGTGAAATCCCATGCACCTGCGTGTGTGGAACATGTATTTTTTGACCAAGTAAATGCTTAGTCTTTTCCAGCCTTCCCTTTCTGAAGCAAATACAGTGTATTGAATCTCATTTTGCAGACATGCATACACATGTATGAAATATCCGGTACTATGAAGGGAATTGTCGCTTAGTACTATAGGTTAACTTAGAAAAAGTTCCCAGATTAAATTCAGGGAAGTTTAAAAACAAAACAAGCCAAAACAACAATTTTCTTTCAAATGTTGAGAGGAGTACTGCAGGAAACAAAAATTTAAAAAATTGTTCCAAATTAACACATGTACATATACTGGTACATGTAAGTTAAGCCCTTGTACTAAATATCTTTGTGTGAAAAATTGTAGTATTGACAAAGTATTGTAATATCTGTCAAATCTGAACTGTGGCCTTTGCACTCTCTGATTATGTGACCCAGTGATGATGTACGTATAAAACTCTGATTACTCAAGTCAATTTGAGTAATAATTAACAAGTGGAGATTGATAGAGCCAGAGTTTTTGCCAAGGTGTTCCACGCCATGGCAACCCTATACATGTACATGTATATATGCATCAGTGTTAATAACGGCAGCTTGGAGTAAGCACAGGCGTGGTGAAACATGGTATTTGTAAACCTTTCTTTTTGGTTAATTGTGTGTAAATATAAGTTATGAGAATATACATGTACATGTACAGTACATGTATGGGACGTTTGTTGAAATACATGTGTGTTTTACTACATGTACGTACAGCGTACATGTACATTTGTACAATGTAATAATTTTTTTTGGAATACACAAGCTTTTTCATGCTACCATATGTTAGAAGATGTACATTGGTGACAATTTTGCAAAATCAAATGAGACATGTATGTACATGTATTCCAGCACACAATTAGGCACCGGCGCACATGTACATGTCCTTACATGTACAGTGTACATGTATACATGTACATGTAATGGAGGAAGGCCATGATGTACAGTAAGTATTTGCATGTGCCTGTACTATATTGGGTTAGTGTGTCCTAACATTACTACAAGTGTTGCCTTGAATTGAGTTTCCTATGGATTATTGTAGATTGGTCTGAATGTGCATTGTTTATACATACTGGGTGTGTGATGTGAGAGAAAACCAACACCGTCCAGACTGCACTTGACGTATGCACAATACACTGTATGTAACGTTATGAGTATGATCTCATTACAGAAATTACAGTTTACATGTATGTGAATGTATGTACATGTACATGTCGCTCAAAGCCACATGGATCTCTGCTAATTGCTGGCATTACATGTACTTCTGTGAAAGAGATTGTAAACCTTTGGCTTCCTCCCTTGTTCCCTCATGGAGACAGATCTACATGTACATGTACATGTATGCTTGGAACAAAACATTTTAATAAACAGTTGCATATACATGTACTGTACTAGAGCACACAAGACACTGTTTCAGCAATTTTCCTGGTTCAGGATTTTTCCTACACGTAGTTCCAGATCGCTCAAAATGAAAACCTGCCTCTTTAGTCGTGTTTGTATCGTTTTAAGGCAAATTCTGTTTGAAAATTGAAATAAAAGCTTGTTGTACAAAGTGTGTTCTCACAAAATTTATGGAAAAGAAAGTTTGGCCAGATTTCCAATTCGGACTTCAACATTTTTGAACGGTTAGTCAAAACTCACGGGAGCCAAAACAAAATCGACAAAAATTTACAGGGCAGTGGGTCACTCAATATGTGTGATTCCAAATACTTTTTTTTTTTACGTTCAACAGTCCTAGACTTTTGTCTATCATCCATGGGTGGAGATTTATTGTCACGTGGAGTGGGGATAATTTGTACTCATCCATCGAGCTCAGCACAGCTTCCATCCCAGATGAGATTGTGACACCAGCAAGCAGAGTTTCAGTTTTTAAAAAACCGAACCCATATTTTTCCTGCTTTCAGATTGTGTTTTAAGTGCATGCAGATATGGTGCAAACATGTACATACTACGTGTAGCCGAAATGTGTGGATGTAATGGATTCATCTGTGTGCAGCAGGGGATAGTAGTCTTGAAAGTTTGCTCTGCATCTGAAAAGTCAAGTCATAAGTTACACAAGTTTAATATATGATCTATTTTCCCTGAATTAAAAACTTCTTCATGGAAAATCAGTTTGTCGCAATGAATTTCTCACATGGTTACTGGTACTTTTTATGGATGAAAAATGTCATTACTTTTGTTGATCCTGTTAGTCCAAATCGCATCCTGAAATCTTTGAAAATAATTGTGTTGTTTCTCCAACATGAGGTGGTCTACTGACAAAAATTGACTGTACCAGTACACATGACTATTTTGAACCAAAAAATATCATGAACCAAAAGCTGGTTTAGAAACTTAGAAGAATCCCAAGGATCTGGTCACTTAAATCTTACATGTATTTAAAACTTAAAAGTATTTTTCTTTTCCTTTGTTTAGGCAGCAGATGGGCCAACAGATATATATGGCTTCACAGTGAAGGACATTGATAAAAATGAAGTTTCCCTGTCTAAATACAAGTAAGAGATCATACTAATTTGTTTAAAAGTATATGATTGGTAAAGTATGTAAGTATTCAATTAATTCTTTCACATTACATGTAAAACAGTTGGCTTTTGCTTAGTTAAACTAATTATTCACATGATGTTATCAATGAAAATAATAAAAAATTGGTAAATCACCTTTTTGTCCAGTGAGGCTGGTCAGCACAGTGTTAATTTTCATTTCTACCTCATTCTCATCAATACCATGCAGTCTTGAATTTTATTTGTGATATACTTTTCTATCATTTGATTCACAAAACAAGTACAGGTAAATATGGTGTTTTTCTGAACAGTTAGGGATGAGGTGCCCTTTATGACTTTATTAGTACCCAAAAAAGCTAACAAAAATAATATATATATGACAAAACTAATATAGGACGAAAGTGAAATAAATCTAAAACAAAAATATATAAAGGATGAAAGAAATAAATATGTGGGATGAAACTAATGAAACAATTTATATATTGGACAAAGGACAAAGGTGATTTATAAACAGAACAGAAACTAATATACGACTAAACACATATAGACGACAAAACTAATAAATATAGAATGAAAATACTATATCCTACAAAAGTAATATAATGTAGGATGAAACTAATATATATAGGACAAAACAGATACATATAGGATGAAAGTAATATATAATGAAATTAAAAAAATATAGTTCTAACTAAACTCAAGTATAGAACAAAACTAATAAATAATAGAAAAACTTAAAGATATAGAATGAAACTATATTTATTAGTTTTGTTCTATATTTTCTAGTTTCATTAGAGTTTTGTTCTATTTTTTTAGATTTGTTCTATATTTTTCTAATAAATATAGAAGGAAACGAATAACTAGGATGAAGCGCCACCACCTCGACACCAGACCAGTTGTGATATACATGTAGAGCAAAATGTAAAATACATGTATATACATGTAGAAGGAAAATATAAAATATATAAGAAAAAGTGCCATCTACCGAGCGGTCGTGCCGCATGCATGCCATGCCTGACATGGAAAGAGTTACATGGACAACACTTGGTGCCCCTGTATGCAAACCTACTGTATATAATATGGGACTTGTCTGAAAAAAATGTGTTTTCTGTGTAAATGCTTTAGAATTTTCCTTACTAAATTTCACTTTTTGGGACATGTTAACACTTTCTGATGGCTGTTCTAACATTTTAAGGGAAAATTAGTGTTGTCTGTAACTCTTGTGGAACTCTTTCCCTCACCCGATACTCTTGATGATACGGTGGACGTCACAACACACTTGTCATAAAAATGTTGTCAAAATGAGTGGAGCTGTACGTGATCCTGTACCATGGCTTGAGAGTTGGAAAATGTGAACCTTCCTGTACGAGAAGCAGAACCCTGCTTTCAATGACTTGCATGTGGTTGCTGTACCCACTGGCACTGGGCCTGGACCTACTGCTACTGGTGCCAGTATTACTTGCATAATGCCCGACACTAGCAGCAATCTCCCTGATGGCAGAGGCCGACTGTCAAAAACGAACTGGGTGGTTGATGACTTTTTCTTTACTCACTGGTCCTTCTGTGTTTAGCTCCTGGTTAACCGAATCCTCTGAACTCTACTTTTAACAAACTCAGAGCCTGGTTTAAAACCTGGTATTTTACCCTTGTCACCTGTATCTGTGAAGGACCTGTCTGTAGGTTCTGTACTTCATGTACATGTACTTTATATACATGTAGGTACACTTTAATACATGTTCCAAAAAGTATCTCTGAAGAAGTGGCTATTAACATACATATAATTTTAATCAAAGTACTTGATTTAAATCTTAGAATGTAAATTGTAATTTATTTGATTTTTGTACAAAAGAAAAACATGTACATGTACAAAGATAAAAGTTCTGCAAAGTAGATGTGGAATATAGAAGAACAAGGAGAAATGTACATGTAAGTACCAGTATCAACACAGATTATAATAATCTATGAGAAATAGATCAGATCAGTGCAACTCCAGTTTAATCTTCCTTATTTTGTTTTTCTTTAGGGGTCACGTGGTTCTCATTGTCAATGTGGCTTCTCAGTGAGGCCTAACCAACAAGAACTATGCTCAGCTACAAGAATTGCACGCTACATATGCTGAGCCAAAGGGTTTGCGGATCCTGGCTTTTCCTTGCAACCAGTTTGGTGGTCAGGTACGCTTAACAGATTACGTTATAAATCTACCAAAGAATCAGAGCTAAGTTGTGATGGTATCAGTAACATGTCCATTTTTAGCCCAGAATTTACTGTTTGATTGGCCGTGTGACATGTACATGAACATTCACTGAAGCCTCACATCTACAGTGTTTATACACAGTTTTCAGGGTTTTTCCATTTTCAGCCCTGCATTTTCAAGAGTTTTTACTGTTTGGCTCTTCATGCAGGAACCCGGAACAAACCAAGAAATCAAGGAGTTTGCAGCAAAGAAGGGAGCGCAGTTTGACTTGTTTGATAAGATTGATGTCAACGGTAACAATGCCTCTCCTCTCTACAAATTCCTTAAGAAGAAGCAACACGGAACGCTTACTAAGTATGTCATTTGTGTGAAATTGGAATATAAGAAAATTAACATGCTATAAACTATATGAACAGGTTTGCCATGTACATGTACATGTACATCAAGCATTGTATACTGGGTCTCTTTTGCATTGTCACTGTTGGTTTTTGGTCTATGCACTCTGCTAAATGCAACAGAAGATGCATAACCTTGACACTGTGTTATACATGCACATGTAAATATATGCAATGCACATGTATACTGCTTAAATTTGGTAAATTCTGCTGAATTCAATAGTCCGGTATTTGCCAGATCATGTTGTATTTATACTGCACGTTGCACGTTAATGTACACGTAGCACGGCTACCGTTTAAGGAGATCATGATAAAAATTGCATCAACAGACCTATACTTTGTTGACATTTGCTTTTCTGTATTCCCTTTTCTTGCAGTGCAATTAAATGGAATTTTTCTAAGGTATGTGGTACGTTATATGAGTCGTTACTTGTGGCATAGAAAGGATACACATGCTCATACATGTAGGGTCTGACACTAATCACTTTGCCTTTTCTTCATCCACTCTCCTACTAACATGTAAATCAACAAACCCTCGGAACCCACGGCCTGTTATACATGTGGCAATTCCATTAGCTTGTCAGCCATATGCCTGTGTACCAGTTCTCACTCAACTAGGCAAAACAAAAAAATTAAAACAACTTGGTTCATCCAGATTACTTTCATGTGTCCAAAGAATTTGACTTGAATTGCAGAAATGTATTTTGCCCTTATTTGTTTTTCCCAAGTGCAAGCAACTTGCACATTTTTCATTGTACTTTCGATGTTATAACAATAAGATCAAGATGTGGTTAGTACATGTATGTGGCAATGGAATTGGCCTTCTCAGATGACTTCCAGGAAGTATGTTTGACGCATATTGTTGTCTTTTCTCTTGTAGTTTTTAATTAACAAGAAAGGAGTACCGGTGAAGAGATTTGGCCCCCAAACTAATCCCAAGGTACGTTACGTTTCAGATACTGTACTTTTATAATGAAAGGTACATGTACATGCAGGTGACACCATGGGTAAAATCCCCAAAATGGGACTGCCCTGTAATCCCGGAAAATCTCATCTCACTTGAAAGTACATAACAGCCTCAGTCAGTCTGTAAAACACTTCCACCCAGAATGCTGTAGTTTTCAACAAAACAGAATTTTTTGTTCTGTTTTTCGTGATGGTCGGTCGACAATTGTTTAATAGTTTGTTTCTTTGTACACACCATATCCATTAACAGGCGTTCCTTTTTTATGTGTAGTGTGTGTAGATGTTACATGAATGTAAATGAATGGGTTATACTGAACACAGCTGAAGACAAACTATCAGAAATTCACCAATTGTATTTTAAACTGAAATTAGAGGAAACTGAATGTATGGTATAAAATGAATTAGATCAATTTGAAGTTAAAATTTAATTTAGGAAAGATTTTCTTAACATGAAAAGGTTTCGAACTCAAAATCACCCCCAAAGCATGATGGGATTGTCCAAATTTGGTTGCCATTTTGGAGCTACATAGTGAGAAGATTTTCATCAATGAAAAGTACGATTTCCACACATTAAACCTGCCGTGTTCAAAATATAATTTTAGACTTTCATTGACATGGAAACTGACATGAAAGTGTGGTCATTAAGCATAATTGTGCAAGCATGTGCTTATATATACTCATTGCATACTTCAATCCTGGGTGAAGTTTCTTCCATGAATCCACAATGCTACATTGTTGAGGAGGTACATTACTGCAAAAATTTCCTGATTACTCTGGGCACTGAAAACTGCTCTGTTTTTTTTAAAGGGAAAGAGAACTTGTCATACCTGTACCTGTTCTCCACCCTGACCCCGCAGGTGTCGTTCACTTACTACGATCTACAAAGGCCCTGTAGTTCATGGATTTTTATTACAAGATCTTCGATTTTACTGTTGAAAATGCCACTGTGTTTTTCTCGATTTTTCACACTATAGTTGACTCAAACATGTTTGACATTGTTTCTTTTTGTTAGGATATAGAGAAAGACATTGTGAAGGAGCTTGATAAACCAGAATAGATCCTTGAATGCCAATTCTCCTTTCACAAAATCATCCAAAATGGTGCAAGAACAGATGGTGGATCCACTGCCAATCAACAGTTCTCAAACAACCTGTGTGGTGTGTGTGATGGCATCTACCCTGAAGACATCCTTCATTCCATTAGTCAAAGCTGGACCATTATGTACTCCCTTTGAGATCTGTGAACTCTTTTGCACACTGAGTACAGCAGTGCAACTTTACAATACAAGTCCTTCATTATTCTCTCATGTATGGGTATAACATATTTATCCTCCGCAAATTTATATGCACTATCAGAAATTGTTCACAAGTGAAAATGACCATACAAGTACATGTACCATACAAAAAATTTGAACTGTCCAATATGGGATATGGCCCAGATGATCATGTGACAGGACAACATGGCATATCACACCTGCCATTAGACATTACATCTGTAGCCCTGAATCAGGCAGAATTTTATAATGTACGCTTCCCCAATGCGGAGAATAATGTAGGGACCACTAACCTGCCAATTCTTAAAGTTTCCTTTGGCGCCCTTAACTTTCCCATAAAAAAAGACGATGAAAAACATCAGGACACAAATATTACAAAATTGTATTGTTACTGTGGGATTAACCAGCCGACATTGAGAATTCAAGGTTACTTTATGGTATATTATAGAGATTTGTTGCCTTCTGTATAGGGGTCTATGGCTTTTATTTGTCCCCACTGGTTTTCAAAACATCCTCCATCACAACTGGCAACAATTGTTTTGTTACACTATGTCAATCAGGTGAACTGCTTCACATTGCACTTCATTCCACTTAGATAATCTTCACCAACAAAACGTTTCGATGAACAAATTCAACTGAATTGAATCATTGGTAGGGAGTACATCTTTTGTCTTGACATTTCTGACCAACTTTTCCAGAAAGTAATCTATTTCAGTTGTGGGTAACATTTGAAATGGGGGGGTGGTGTCCACGTCATGTCTGTGGCAATTCAAAATTCTGAACACACACATTTATAGAATGTTCCATAGTTTTCTTTGAGTAGATACGCTTCTTCATGAAAATCAAATTTCTGATGTATTTTTGAACGAGAGAAAACCTCCTCATAAAAACCAACCTGCTGTCATCTGCCAGCAATATTGCTTTGAAATTATGGCCAAATTGGTTCACCACCCTTGAAAATACAAACATTGCAGTCACTGCAGACATAGTATTTCACTGTGCCTCACAGCACGTCATATACATGAACTAAGGAAGTACCAGCATGGTTGTACAACCTTATATCTAAGGTTACATCAATACAACGTGGTGGAAATGACACTTTCAATCTTTGGAAAGTACAAGGTAATGTACCCCCTATGGTACAGTGATAGCTTGTGTAGCATGATGAACATTGCTGATGTTCTTTTGATCCATTACATGCAAATTTATGGTATGTACATGATATGATATTCCACTCGAAAAGTGTGATGGTGCCACAGTACATGTATGTTATGAATAGTAATATCAAGGTCTTCAACTGTGCGTAACATTGTCAAAGTGATACACATGTGGATTTTGGAGTAATAATAAAATTGATATTGCGCTTTCTCCAAGACACGCCTGTTCATAAGCGCATTATATAGTTAAAAACAGTAACTAAAACAGGTTGAAATGAAGGAAAAAATGATGCCCCAAACGACTCTAGATAATATACAAACTTCTCCGGTAATCTGCAGTGGCTCAAAATAAAATCATCTTTCTGACCCTTCAACAAATACAAAAATATTTTTATTTGGTCATAAAATTGGATGCCAGCCAAAATTGTATAATTTTGAATGACTTGAATTATTTATTTGATGTTCACGTTTTAAAAGTAAGTTCACTTTTAGTACAGGTCATCATGTATATTTTAGGCACTTGACCAGTACCAATTCTTTTGTGGTATTTTAGTAGTTGTATATTAGGCATTGTGAGTTTGTTAGCACCAAGTGAGATCGGAATTGGAAACCAGCAAAATGAGACAAACCCTGGTATGACAATGGCTGTAGATCAGGCTCTATGAAGGCTGATTCTGAAACCGTTACCATGACGGGGGAACCGGCTGGATCAATGCGTGCTCGCTGTGATCTCAGCTAATCATATCACAGGGTTTCTCTCCTTTGAAGTTTCCCTTCCTAAATCAGTGTTGAATAATGACAAAAAATGTGTGTGAAGTTCCTCTTTCCTGTTGCCAGTGATAAAAGTTGACAATCTTTAAAGTACATGTATGAGATTACTTTTTTTGGCAATAGTTTCTTGCAGTCTTGTTGTTGAGTGAGGCATATTATCTGATAATTGCGTGTGTCAAAATTCTAATTCTGCACTTGTAGTTTTCAAGTTCCGCATACTTATTTGTAATACTCAGTGCAAGAAATTCTGGATTATTCTGTGTATTCATGATAAAAGCATTTGCCAAAGACTACAAGAAAGAAATATTTTAAATGATATGAAACAGTTGATTAGAATGATTCCTTCAGCAGCATCAGAAGGAAAAGGCCAGGAAGAATGTGTAAACATTCTCGGTTGTAAGCATCCAGCCATTCAGAGCTCATACTGAGATAACCACTCTCATGTACTATGACAGACATTTTGCCAGCAGTTCAAAAATTTCAAAGTGAATTGTTATAAAATGTTGACTCTTCAATCACATGTAGAAAACTACATGGTTGGCATGTGGGACAAGTTAATGTTTCACATTTTCCTTTCAAACTTTCCTACTTCAAAAGCCAGTATTTCTGTCTTGGAAACTACAACGTATTTCTGGGTTGAAATGTATCTTTCAAATAAAGTAATTCAGAGGTGGATCCAGAATATTTTCCCTAGGGGAGGGGGTCAGGCTCATATCACTTTTTTAAATGTCTGACTGTCATGGACGGGCTGATGCACATGCTTACTGATGTACAAGTAACAATCCTTATAGGATGTCATCTGTTTTATTGTTACTGGTTTTTCTATTTTTTTGGGGGGGGTGTTAAACAGAGGACCCTCAACTCCCCCTGGATCTACGTGTATGCCTGAAATTACCATTGGTCTTTATTCACAACATGCAGCTACATTATTAATGAAATATGAGCCGATGAAATGGCATATGAAACATACATGTTAATATATTTGTATTTGCATTCAAGCATTTTAATGATAACAAGAGAAAGCTCATGGAAAGAATGTGATAAACTTTGAGTCAGTGATCTTTCTTTATTTGATGTTT